TAAAGGCATCCCGTTCGGAGAGGTTGCCATGGGCGTACTAGACATCGACCTTACACAGATCCCCGAGGGTAAGTTTTGGTGATTTCCCTTTTCGGTCAGTTTTTCTATGCGCTGTCCGATTTTATTTCATCGATCATTTCGATCGATTTGTTGCTCAATTACTGGTCTTTCATTACTGCAGTAATTACGGATCTGTTTGAATTAGTGAATTCTTTGCCTTTCATTTAATGGCCCATTCTCTGAAAAACCTAACGTTTGTACCATCTGTTGGTCTTAACCCAGATAATCAGTAATTATCGAACTTCACCTAGGAGATTTATCATTGATTGCCAGTTCCCGTATCCTTGGCTTGTTACGGTTTCACCAGTTGGTCGATTAACAGTCTGTATTTTGCAGTAGTCTTGTCAGAGACATGCTGATAGCGGAATGTCAGTAGAGCGTTGGCTCTTTTTGCGTCAACTCTCCTGGTATTCCAAAAAATTTCCATTATTTTTGCTGTTTTACATTATGTTTGTTATATATTGAACATTGAACATTGTGTGACAGTCAGTTAAACACTCTTCAGTTAGAAGATTTAATGTGCTGTTTATCCAATACCGATTAATGTTTTTGAACTCCACTCAGTACCGTGCCGTTGATGACCGAAAACGATGTCATGTCCTGATTTCATGGTAGGAAGTTCGAGCGACGAGAAAATTTCAACAAATGAGTGTTCAACTCGGCACTTTAAAGCAACTGAATTTTACTACGCATTTTTTCTGAGATTCTGTACCTTGATCAGGAATGTTTAAACGATAACTGTTTGTTGAAAGTATATTTGTTGTTTTTTTGCTGCTAACTATGCGATTGGAAGAGCTGTGCGCTTTCCCAGGAATATAATTTTCGTTAAATTCATGTAAATTTTTTGTTACATGAATTTGCTCAATAGGAAGGACAGGAGTAAGACACGTTGCACTGATTCGTTTTTCGCTAAAAGCCTGTAATCATAATTGTTATGCTTTACGTACAGTAAAGCGTTTTCTGTAAATTGATGCAAAATTGTGAAAATAAATGACAAAGTAACCGATGGTTGTTGCTATTTAATTCTACACTTCAGCAATGTAGGCAACATTTGTACACTTAAAAAATTTTAAGTTTCAGCTTTGTGAACTAACGTATTTGGTCCGAAAACAATCATCTAGTCATCCGTAATTGAAGCTTGTAATAATTGCAGTTTTATTGTTGTCATTAATTGAGGGAGATGGTGCAGTGGTGAAAAAATTTTTGGTTTTTTAAATTAGATTATCATGTTTTTTTTGTGTGCCCCACCGCCTTGTATGAATAATTGTAGCCATGGAAGAAATGTTTTAATAAACCGTTTTCTTTATTTCCAGTTTCCTTGCCAACTTACGAACCAAATTTTCCACTATTCTGACAGATGTAAATGATTTCTTGAACTTCAGATTGTTAGCAAATGCTAGCTTCCTCATTTCTGGTTCTGTTTTTTCTTTTACTCCCCATATTTATCTTTTTTCTGCAGTTTGTTTGTTTTCAACGTCCTTTTATTTTCCAGCGTCATGCTCTTTTCCGTCCTCTCTGGCGTGTTGGCAGTGTCTGCTAGGTCCAGTTCTATTTCCGGAGATGCCGGGTTCGATTCCGCTCGAGGACAATTTTTGTCTTATTCACGAATTTGCTTGAGTAGGAATTTGCTCACATTGCTTCACACCGGGGTTGCCCAGTCTTTAGAGCGTCCAACTCAAAACCGATTCGCCCTTCTTCCTTCCTAGTACCACTCTTTGGGAGGGAACCAAGAAAGTACACGCTACGCTTGTCTAGCTTGCTTGCGAAAAATAAGGCACTCGTAGCTGATATCATACAAACAGATATCAACATCCCATCATGATATTCAGAAAAAATAGCGCCCCAAAAGGGCTCAGTCATGAACGTGACAGAAGACCGACATTTCACCGTAAAAAACTTTCCTTTCCTTTCGGTTCGTTTGCTATCGTAGTAGAAAAATCGAATTCCCTCTCAAAATTGTTAAATTGACATTCGGTTCTGGTCCATTATTGACCAATCGAATATTTTAATGATTCATAGTTGAGGTGCCGAAAAGAGCACCCTTGTAATTTTTATCCATAGCCTATGCTTTTCGCGGCTAATGCGGCAGCGTTTTCATGATTGATTATGGTTTCAGTCTTTTGATCCAAAATTATTGAGTTATATTATTATTAATGTCAACTGATAAATACTTTTCTGTCATCGATTGTTTTACAGTTGTTTATTACTCACTGTCAAAATGGTTCATATTATTTGCATAAGAATTATCATAAATAATCACCGAGTCATTAATTAGCCTGAAAGATTCACCGACTTTACTGGTTGTGTTGCTTACTACAATTTAAACTCATTTTTTAACCAAGACAAAGCGAATGATATTCCGTGAATAGTAATGCTATGACTAATGTGCAATTTTTCTCATTCTAATATTGTTTTTTTATATTGGCAGTATTTACTGATTATGCAGAAGCCCGTAATAAAAAAAACTAAATACCTGCCACAGCACATCGTTCGTTATTTTCAGATTAGATTAGAATTGGATAGAGCGCCTTATTTTTTTGGCTAATCCGTGATTGCTTCTATTAGTACACCAGTTTTGTTGATGTTTGTACGACATGACAGTCGTATTTTGGAAAGAAAATTCAGGCGTTGATTGTTGATAGAGTTCAGCTTTATCTCATTTTAATAATTGTTGCGGTTTCATGACAGTCTTCTGTAGTGCGGCCGATGGGAAGCGATAATCATTGCTTTAATGCCACCAGCTGTAATACTAAATTTATATCTCTGGAAGTGGCTCCCGTTTCTCTACTATAAACGGATCATGGCAGTGGGAATAATAGGTGATTGACCTGATCGAGGTTCTAGATCCGTAATCTTAGATCTTCGGCTTTAATGGCTCTGATTAAAGT